ATTGTGAGTGTTAATGCACGAAGGGTGATGTCGTGCCATATTGTGAGTGTTAATGCACGAAGGGTGATGTCGTGCCATGATATGACAGTTAATGCACGAAGGGTGATGCCATGCCATTTCTATTGATTTTTATGGTGAGAGTGACAGTACAAGCACTAAGGGTGATGCCGTGCATTTTTCCTTACTGTATTCACTATTCCTGTTGATTCATGGTATATTGACTGCTCCGGTGATCATTCTGTTTTAGTTCTTTATCTTGTATTCCCCTCAGTATGTTCCCCTCCCGACATTTCCTGTTTAGTTCTTCATTTCTGTTATTTGTATATACACTGTTAAATTGTACAGGTTGATTTGTAGGTGCCTTGCCTTAGCCTCGTCACTACTTCGTCGAGGTTAGGCTCGACACTTACCAATACATGGAGTCGATTGTACTGATACTACACTCTGCACTTTCTGTGCAGATTTTGATACCAGCTCGGGTTGATCGAGATTCTGCTATTGGTCCGTTGTCCGGAGACTCAAGGTAGATCTGTCGGCGTTCACAGACCTTGAAGGTCCCATCTATCTTTTTTATTTTACTGTTTCTTTCACTCAGACAGTTGTAGTTCTTTCTTATTAATACTTGTAGCAAATTTTAGAATGCTCGTGAATTGTGACTCCAGATCCGGGTAGTAGTAGTTAATACAGATTTATGATATTCCGCACTTATTATATTTTATCTTAGTTAATTATTGTTAATTACTGAATGGAAATAAGGAATTAGTTAATGATTCTCTAACATTGGCTTACCTAGCAAGTGAAATGTTAGGCGCCATCACGGTCTCGTCGGTGAAAAATTTCGGGTCGTGACACTCGCCTACTAATTATTCAAATTTAAGGATATTTGGTTGTCTTACTTATGCTCATGTGAGGGATGGAAAACGTGAGTCGAGGGAAAAAAGTGCATATTTCTAGGCTATGCAATGGGAGTGAAAGGTTATAGGTTGTGGTGCACATATCAAAAGACTCCAGGGCTAATTATCAGTAGAGATTTAACATTCGATGAATCTGCCTCACTGGACAATCATAGGGAGAAGGCAATAGCAAAAACAGATCGTGGTATCAGTGACCGCATAGAGCTAAAAATTGAATCTCCACTAGCTCAACCCAATAGTTCTAAAGTAGAGAAAGTAGAGGAGGTGCAAAATATTGATCAAGATAATAATATTCATGAATCTGTGCAACATCAACCATATAGCATTGCAATATGCAGAGAGAATAGAGTGATCAACCAACCGCAAAGGTTTGGTAACGTAGTTGATGGGAATCTTCTTGGGTATACGAATCTTATGGGATTTGCTCTGATACTAACTTGTCACGACCCAAAATCTAACCATGATCGTGATGGCGCCTATCGTGTTACAAAGCAAGCCTATTTCCCAAAATATTACTACTAAATCGATTATAAGAATTTAATAAAACAATACCAACATTTGTATTTCTCATAAAGTAAATCAACTCTAAATATAATATAGAAAATACGGAAACGAGCCCCAAACATCGGGGTGTTACTAAGTCATGAGCATCTAAAACTATGAACTAAGATATATATAAGTTGTCTAATTGTCCAAAAGAAGAAATGACAAGAGGAGTAACAAGGTCCTTCGGACGCTAACAGCTACCTTACAGTTTCCAAAGATAGTCGGCCTGAACTCAACGATCGCCGCCTTCTAACTTACCTGGATCTACACATAAAGTACAGGGTGTAGTATGAGTACAACCGACTCAGTAGTAATAGAAATAACTAAGGAACTGAGCAGTGGTGAGGAGCTAAGCAGAATAATCCAATTATTATTTCCACTATTAAGTACAAACAGGAGTAGACAGGTAATTTCATAAATCAGTAAGACTACAAGGAAAATTAACAGGTAAATGCAGCAACAGCAAAAGTAAATGCAACCTCACAGCAATGTCACTCCATCACTCATCACTCACACTCAGCACTCAACGCTCAACACTCTGCGCTCACTCGGGGTGTGTACAGACTCCGAAGGGGCTCCCAAAGCCCAAGCGCTAAGCACGGACAACTCACGTGCCATCATATCAATTTCTGGATCCGCACGGTCAACTCACGTGCTATGCAGACAACTCACGCACAATGGTATTAATATCCTCATGACCAGGCCCTCGGCCTCACTCAATCATGTACCTCACTAGCCTCACCATCATCAACAAATAAGGGAACACAGTCCACATCAAGTTTCACAACATATTAGCAAATAATAGAGACTGAGGTAAACATGTACAATAATTTCTATGACTGAGTACAAATAATGTGAGCATGAATAAAGCCTAAGCATGATCTCTAATATGAAGGCAGACAAGTTCAACAACAACTACGTAAACACAGATGATGGCCATGAGGCCTCACGGGACGGACCAAGTCTCAATCCCTCGAGGTATACACCCACACGCCCGTCACCTAACGTGGGTATCACCTCCAAATAGTCACACG